TTGTTCGCATTTATTTTTTAACCAAAGGTGCATTTCAGAAAGATTATATTCATTTTAATAAACCACGGTGGTTGCGAGCCGTCACGATAAGGAGGTAGCGCCATCTATCAATACGAACGCCAAACACACCCCGCTACTGGACCCCTGTCGTCGGCGTTGCTGCCCGCCGTCGACCCTGGTAAGTTTCTAACGAGCACTTCCTGCATGGAAGCGACAGATGCGGGAACAGAATGAAGAAGTTCTGTATACTGTAAACAACAAAAGTTTCGTGGGGACCTAGTTTTCGCAAAATTGCCTACAATTCGCGAAAAATACGTCCCGCGAACAATTCGGGCAATAGGCGAACGCTACGAAAGCTACATTCGATTCGAGAAAATTAGAACCCACAAATAATTTCAAATTTTCAGCTTTGACCCGATTCGCAAAAATTGAGTCGTTTACAGTATTTTACTACTTGGTTAAGGGGGTCACGAATTTTGTCGGATTTTGTCTGTAGTATCCTCAATATGGCTTCAATGGACCTTTTCCGAGAAGTGTTCTGCGCACGCGCGAGCGCCCGATGCCAAGCGGCGGAAGTCGGAACGAAAAATCGAGGAAATTCGGAAGGAGGTTGTATATCAGCGAGTAGAACACGTAACTGCAGCATATACATAACTGTGTTACACACAAAAAGAATGTCGACGGAAAGGAAAACACGACGTTTGGGTGGACGCCACGGATTCCGCCCTTTAAAGTCGCACTGGGCACGCGCAGCTGCTCAGAAAGCGAAGAAACTGGTAGTGTAGCCTCCATAATCGATTGGTAGCGCAGGTAGGTCACTTCCTCGATTTTTAGTTTGTGCAGCCACCGCCTGGTGCCGTCAGTATGTGAAAAACGTACATTGTGAGGGAATCAAGGTTGCATAACCTTGATTCCCTCAATTAACGCCTTCCCCCGGAGGCGTTAATCAATGCTTTCTAGTTTTACTAGCTGCTTCATACCAGGCTGTTCAAAATTAATGCCACTGAGTTTCGCTCATAAAGCAGTCTACAGCCGCAAAGTAGTCCTTCCGTAATGCTGCCTTGCAATCAAGTACGCCTGGCGGAGAAGGTGTGTTGCTCATTTCAAACCTTTTTGGCGGTTTTGTCAGCCTTGCGCTGCAAGGATCTCTCAAACCTAGCCGCATTGCAGTTAAGCTCGTGCAATCCCCCACCCCTTCAAACGTGACTTCAAACCGCAAACGGGGCATTGCCTCGCAGAGTCCCTGCAGCCTTTGATACCTGCAGCGCGAAACGTTGAACGTTGCATTACCCTTGCAAATTCTTCGCATGGACCGAACAAAGCTATAGAAATGTTTATTCCTAGCAGCGTTTCAACCTTTTCAAAAGCCTCTCATAACCCTTCAATATGGCCCCGCTGTTGCCTGCAATCGAATATTATCCTCAGGCACGTAGCCAGGGGGGCGGCCCATGGGGACTGTTCCCCCACCGAAATCTTTGATTTTGCTGGGACCTCCTCTCCCCCCTCCCCTCATACAGCATTTTGTCATGGGCAGGCCCCCCCTCCCCCCCCCCACCGAAACAAAATCCTGGCTACGTGCCTGATTATCCTTGTAGCAGCTTTTTCAGTGTCTCCTGAACTCTAGGCTAGTTTTTCAGCAAACCTCATTGACTTCACTCTGGCAAAACGGAAGGAGGTTATTTGGCATTGATCCGGCCTCTTCCGCCGCCTCGCGGACAGCAGGAATTACAATAGATGAATATGCAGCTTTGCGTTTCTTTGGAGTCAAAGTGGGGGGGCTCAGCCCCATCCTGAAAAATCTGGGGAAGGCTCTGGCCCCCCCCCCCACCCGCTTCCGGGGTCCCTGACCAGCATGCTCCATTTCCACGAACATGTATCCTTTGCTCAACTTGTGCCACCACTGAAATAGCCTCTGCCTGGTTACCCCCACATTCTCAGTCTATTTTCTCTATACTTCGATGCTTTCGTGGAATCAGTCTCGCTTTCAGCTGTTCAGTACAACTTTGGGGTTAAGTCAGTGGAGTTGGGTGAATAGCCCACCCAGATGACAAGATCACCAACTGTGTTGAGCTGGGCAGTCCTGTTATCCGGAGAGAGAGTTTGGCTGCTTTTTTTGCAGGGGTTTGATGGTATCAGAAGACTGAACCAGCAGCATAGACTTTCCATTTTCCCGGGGGGGGGGCAGGCTGAGAAGTTTTTTCCGGGGGGAGGGGGGGGTGCTTTTCTACGCAATTTTTTTACACCGGCAATTATTAGTAGTTTATTTTAGGGTGTACAATTTTACAGCGTATGTATATCGCCATGTATCCGTCACTGTGTGTCAATGTCAATCACCGTGCAAGCATAGCCCTGTGTTCATCGCAGGTACCACGGCGCATGCGCCGGCGAGCTCAAATCTGAAAAACGAAATGCTTGTGCCAGCTGCTAAGTTCGGGGAGTAGAACCCAGGCCCCTGCCTGGGTTCTACCCCCTAACTTAGCAGTAAAATTTTTGCGTCCGTATTTGCTCGCATAATGAACGGACCTATTATCCTGAAAAATCGAAGTAACTTCATATATCTTTGTGCGCGGCACACGACCCCCTTATCCAAACTGCGCTGTGCAAGAAAAAAGAAAAAAAAGCTCCTTTTTCTTTTTTTTTCTCAGTTCGTGTTTTTTTTTGTTTTTCTTTTTGCCGCCTTTCGCAAGCTGTTTCGTTTGCTTAGAGGGCTTCTCTACTCCTTTCTTACCTCCTTGCGCACGGCGTGCGACCCCCCCCTTCTAACCAAACTGCGCTGTGCAAAAAAAAGCTGAAAAAAAAAAGCTCCCCTTTGTTTTGTTTTTTTCTCTTAGTTCCGTGGGTTTTTTTTCTTTTTGCCGCCTTTCGCAAGCTGTTTCGTTCGCTTAGAGTGCTTCTCTTTCTTACCTCCTTGCGCGCGGCGTGCGAAACCAATGTCCAGACTGCGGTGTGCAAAAAAAAAAAGCTCCTCTCCATGTTCTTTTTTCTTGCTTCCGTTGGATCTTTTCGAATTTTTTTAACGCCTTTTGCAAGGCGTTTTGTTCGCGCACGCTGCCCATGCATTCGCGACCTCGCTGCACCAGGATAGAAAAGTGCGTTCATTTCGCGCTTGTGAGGGGGTCAAAAGTTTGACATCCGAGTTGGGGGTGCGTTTATTACGAGAGTGAAAAAAAAAAGTAAAAAATTTTGAGAGCCAACTTGAGGGGTGCGTTCATTGTGCGAGTAAATACGGTATTCTGATCAGCTCTCTTTGAAAAAGAAAATGTGGCAAACACAAGTTTGCGATCGGATAGACCGTTCATGACATCTAATCTGGTACAATTAATTGTAGAGCTAACAAAGTAAATCAAGAATGTGGCTTGATGAAGCACCGACTCTGGTAAGGGTATCAACAATTTGTGCTAAGTCACATGAGAAGGCAGTGTTCATGAGGAGTTCGGAATGCTTGACATTACTTCCCGTGGCACTCATATTCAACCAGTCAATATGCGGTAGATTGAAGTCACCTGCCAAGATAAGTTTTACTTGGCCAACCCGAAATTGTTGCAAGTAATCATATAAATCCTCAGGAAACACTAGAGTTGCATTTGGCGGCCGATATACCACACCAATTACAATCGTGATACCATAAAAATCTATTTTACAGAACACACTTTCGTGATTAGAGATGCCTGCTGGTAGAATTACCTTTACATCTTCTTTAATTACTATAGCGACTCCACCTCCGCGGGATTGTCGATCACACCTGAGTATTCTGTATGAGGGTGAAATAATTTCACTGTTCAACACATCTGCATGCAACCATGTTTCAGTCAGTAACGTAACGTGTGGGTCAAGATCAATAAGGAGTGCTTCAAAATCAGTCACTTTATTTACCATACTTTGAGCATTAAAAGAAAGTAAACGCAGTTGCTTGTGCGGTTGTGCTTGTCATGCCAGTATCACATTAGTTCTTTTCCCTTTGGTCCCGCTTTTATCTCTAATAGAGCAAGTAGATATAGCCGTGTCATTTGTCTCGACTCCGCCATCCCGCTCATGACTAGGTAGTTTAAATCTTCGATTTTTTTTCCTGGTCCCACACGTATGTCTCCTGGTTGATTACCAACTTATCATACCTAAGATACACTTTATCTTCGGGTTTCCTATGATCCTTCGCAGTCGACCTAAACAACTTTCGTATTTCACGAATTTTAGGCGAGAAGTCTTCCGATAATGACAATCTAGTGCCCTTTAGTTTGTAGGCGTTCCTTAGCAGCTCCATTTTTTCATTAAAATCAAACAGTCGTATAATGACAGGCCGAGTCTTGTTCACTCTTTTTTTTCCCAACCGATGAATACGTTCGTGACTGTTCACTTTGATTCCCAGCTTTTGTTAAAAGATTTCTGTTAAAACAGCTTCCCTAAGTGAATTGGTCGTTTCTGTTTCATTTTCACTGACGCTGTAAACAATCAAGTTATTACGTCGACTGTGGTTTTCTAGAACATCAATTGTCTCCTTTAGAGATGCAATTTTCTCGTGAAGGTCAGTAACCGAACGCTCACAATTTTCTATCCTCTGAGCGGTTTGCGCAAATGACTCTATTTTCCCTTCGATTGATGCTAATCTTCTGTTTGTATCGGATATGTGAGAGTCAAACTGGTTTTGGATAGCTTTTAGGTCTCTGGTGTTTGCCTTCTGATTTTCAAGAATTGCTGCCAGTTGCTCAGCTATCTCCGGCCCGGGGTTCATTTCCACATCACCGCTCAGGAGAAGAACAATAAAGCAGAGAGTCAAAACAACTCGCAATAGAATCGAGAGTCAAAACAACTCGCAATAGAATCGCACAACGCGCCTGGGCAAGGCAGCACAACCAAACACATAAAATCGCTCTTCAATTCACAACAATTTTGCGTCTTACTAACCTGTATCAAAAAGACAAACAAGTTTAGCTGTGGCCGCATGATTCGGCTGCTGCCTTGCCCACTGGCGAAGAACGCTTGAGGGGCGGTGGCCGTTGGTCCAGTTACCAATGTTGCCCGATGAATTCTATGCAGGACCAGAAAATGCACATGGCCACGGTCGATCCATTTCGTGATGCAGTGTCAGCGTCGTTGAGGGTTATCACTGGCAATTGCGCTTCCGATTCGCAGCAGCAGATATCGCTCGGGCCGGTGACATCTTCGTAGGTGACTGGGTCAATACCAGCAGCAAGAACCTGTATCAAAAAGACAAACAAGTTTAGCCGTGGCCGCATGGTTCGGCTGCTGCCTTTGCCCACTGGCGAAAAACACTCGAGGGGCGGTGGCCGTTGGTCCAGTTACCAATGCTGCTCAATGAATTCTATGCAGGACCGGAAAATGCACATGGCCACGGTCGAAAGTTCCATTCCGTGATGCAGTGTCAGCGTCGTTGAGGGTTATCACTGGCAATATCGCTCACGACTTACAGCAGCAGATATCGCTCGGGCCGGTGACATCTTCGTAGGTGACTGGGACAATACCAGCAGCAAGAACCTGTATCAAAAAGACGAACAAGTTTAGCCGTGGCCACAGGGTTCGGCTGCTGCATTGCCCACTGGCGAAGAACGCTTGAGGGGCGGTGGCCGTTGGTCCAGTTACCAATGTTGCCCGATGAATTCTATGCAGGACCGGAAAATGCACATGGCCACGGTCGAAAGTTCCATTCCGTGATACAGTGTCAGCGTCGTTGAGGGTTATCACTGGCAATTGCGCTCGCAACTTGCAGCAGCAGATATCGCTCGGGCCGGTGACATCTTCGTAGGTGACTGGGTCAATACCAGCAGCAAGAACCTGTATCAAAAAGACAAACAAGTTTAGCTGTGGCCGCATGGTTCGGCTGCTGCCTTGCCCACTAGCAGGAAAGCACAGCCGCTGCAACCTCGCACGCTGCCAGTACGGTTGGCTCCGTTGCCTCCACCGTGCTATCGGTACCGACGACGCTTGCCAACATTAAAATGGCGATACTCAGTGTCGTCAGACCACCAAGCAATTTCACATAAGGTCTATTCAACTAGCGATGTCCCAATAGGCAGCAGAAAGCACTGCGAGGCATCACACACTCGGATATCGACCCTCATCGAGGTAAATGCCACAAAAATGCCTTTGCTTGGTACAGGACACCAAAACGAAAAATCTCGGAAAAAGCTCCTTCACACTTATTTCAGTACTCAAAGCTACAAATGATGGAAGAAACAATAGTGTCAAGATTGAAACTGCCAATGTTTTATTCATTTTCACAGCAAAACAGAATTTTACTTTTTATTATGTTTACTTTCTGCAGGCTTGTTTCTTTAACATAGCAGGAGCTCTATCAAAAGAAAACAATAGATACTTTTTACAAACATACTGAACCTTACCTCAAAGCAGTACACTTCGAGCGAGTGCAAGGAAACTTTGAACAAGAGCTAAAGCATTATAATGCAATTAAATGTAAAGGTGCAAGCGAGCTGGACAAGAATGATGAAAATAATCCCTGGAGAAGTGGAACAAGAGGGACAAAGGACAAACACAAATCTCCAAACACAGCTAGGTGACTGGTGCGCCACAGAGTTTGCTCTACTGAAGTCTAACCCCTGGTTAGCTCAGTTGGTAGAGCGCTCCACCTGTAATGAAGAGGTCCCGGGTTCAATACCCGGACCAGGCGGATTTTTTCGGTCGCGCACCAGTCACCTAGCTGTGTTTGGAGATTTGTGTTTGTCCCTTGTCCCCCTTGTTCCCCTTCTCCAGGAATTATTTTCATCAGCTAAAGCATGATGCAATCTGTATTCTGATGAACAACATAGAGTATACTGCTGTAAAAAACGTTAAAGTTTCCCATTAGATTGCCCACCCTATTGCAGCTGGAAAGGAATCATTTCCTACTCTCCAATGGCTTTGTGTGATGACAAAAGGTGGCATTTGGACGAAAGACTCGTGAGCAATATGCCAGTCTAGCTCTGTGTGCAAAATCTCTGTGACCCACCACAATGGAATTCAAACTGGGCCTTCTCAGATATTGCTGGCATTTAAAAAAGCTATTTGCTGCCAATGTTTTTATGAAAATGGCCTTAGACTTTTAAAACATCAATTGGCATGTGTCAGATGAGGGGACACCATTTAGAAAATGACATGGGATGCTGCTGGCCTTAGTGACACTCATTGCGTACAAGTGCTTCAGTGTGGTGAACTTAACTATTAATCTGAGCATTGCCTTCAGATATTTTGTGCACTCGGGTATATATACATTTAAATGAAAATCTCATACAATGCTGCATGAGTGAAATTGTTACACGCATTATAAGGCATAGAAGGCTCAACTTACAGGTCAACCACAAGGCATTCAGCATATGCGCATCTGTAAAGTTCTTGAACAGTGTTCGAAAATGGCAGTTCAGACAATTTTGAAAAAAAGGCTTGGGGACAAAGTTTGCACTTCTGCCTTCTCAGATCTGAATTCAGAGAAAAGGCTTTTGGGCAAAGCTTGCACTTAAATGGCTTTTAAGCAGTCATTTCGTCGTTTACCCTGAGACTGGGGTTTTTTTTTAGAAGAGCAGAACAGAAAAAAAAACAGGACAGGTTTTCTGTTACTTCTGCTCTTCTAAAAAAAAACCCAGTCTCAGGGTAAACGACGAAATGGTTGACTTCCACCAGCAAGCCTGTACTTTGACTCTTTTCTTTTTAAGCAGTGTTTGGTTATGTTTTCTCAGAGCTGAATACAGAGCAAAGGCAAAGTGTGCCACTTAAATGGCTCTTCACCAGTGTGGGTCGCCGTATGGCTTCTCAAACCTGAATTCCGAGCAAAAGCTTTTGCACAAAGCTTGCACTTAAATGGTTTATTCCCAGTGTGTTTGATTATGGTCTCTCAGATGTGCATTCTGAGCAAAGGCTTGGGGACAAAGGTTGCATTTATATGGCTTTTCACCAGTGTGTGTTCGGTTATGCCTTCTCAGATTTGAATTCAGAGCAAAGGCTCGTGGGCAAAACTTGCACTTAAATGGCTTTTCACCAGTGTGTGTTGAACTATGGACCTTCAGATCTGCATTACGAGCAAAGGCTTGTGGACAAAACTTGCACTTAAATGGCTTTTCACCAGTGTGTGTTTGAATATGCCTTCTCAGATCTGCACTCCGAGCAAAGGCTCGTGGGCAAAACTTGCACTTAAATGGCTTTTCACCAGTGTGTGTTAGAATATGGACTTTCACATGTATACTCCGAGAAAAGGCTTTCGAGCAAACCTTGCACTTAAATGGCTTTTCACCAGTGTGTGTTTGGTTATGCTTTCTCAGATATGAATTCTGAGCAAAGGCTTTTGGGCAAAGCTTGCACTTAAATGGCTTTTCATCAGTGTGTGTTTGGTTATGCCTTCTCAGATCTGAATTCCGAGCGAAGGCTAGTGGGCAAAACTTGCACTTAAACGGCTTTTCACCAGTGTGTGTTAGAATATGGACTCTCAGATTTATACTCCGACAGAAGGCTTTTGAGCAAAGTTTGCACTTAAATGGCTTTTCACCAGTGTGTGTTTCACTATGGACCTTCAGATCAGCATTCCGAGCAAAGGCTTGTGAGCAAAGCTTGCACTTAAATGGCTTTTCATCAGTGTGTGTTTGGTTATGCCTTCTCAGATCTGCATTTCGAGCAAAGGCTAGTGGGCAAAACTTGCACTTAAATGGCTTTTCACCATTGTGTGTTTGGTTATGCCTTCTCAGATCTGCATTCCGAACAAAGGCTTGTGGGCAAAACTTGCACTTAAACGGCTTTTCACCAGTGTGTGTTAGGATATGGACTCTCAAATTTATACCCCGAAAGAAGGCTTTTGGGCAAAGCTTGCACTTAAATGGCTTTTCATCAGTGTGTGTTTGGTTATGCCTTTTTAGATCTGAATTCCGAGCAAAGGCTCGGGGACACAGTTCGCACTTGAACATATCACTCTTGTGCTTTTGAGCGTTGCTTGGCACTTTGGACCTAGAGCCAGAGGACACGGAAGGATGATGGCTCTTGAATTGTTTATCACCATGGGCAACCAGGTGGCTCACGATTCCACGCTGATCTCTGGTGACGTAGGTGCAGGAACAGCATCTGAACGAGATGTCCTCGGTGACTTTCAATGGGCTGCTGGTTTTCCTTAACGATGCAGTTCCATTATCTACAAGAAAAAAAAAACCTTGTGTAGTAGCACACACAAAAAATGCCCAACCAAGATAGCCACCACTTTGTTCAGAAAAGAGTAGCCATTAATGAGGTCTTGCTGAAGCTATGGAGTATATGTTACTGCCCTTCTGAATTCAGCCCATGTAAGCACTCAAACACAACTGACAACATTAACTAAGGGGAGTCCCTAGTCTTTAAAAGCAAAAATCCTAGGGAAAAAGTTATTTCTAAGCATTCTTATCTTTATCTCTAAACCACAGTTTACATATCTTCTATTTACTACACTCAAAATGTGCACCTTTATGTAGTTATGTCTATCAAAAATTTGATAGCCATGGTGCTTAGAAGCTTCGTTTTACAAAATTCTTCTCGTTTTTCCGAAATACTTTTTTTCCTGACAAAACATTCTTTACACGGTAATTTTGGATCTAGAGATTGGATCTGAATACTTTTGGAGGACTGGAAACCTCATTATTTAGGGAGTGAAACAAGATTTCAGTACGCAGGTGAGGTTTTCTAATTGGCAAAAACTTAATGATTTCCTTCTAGTTATCAGTGAAAGAATTTCAACATGGGACGCAGTCATATCTTATCCTTCAGGACTTTCACATCAACCGACTGTTTACAAGCTCGCATGCAGCCGAAAATGAACTTCAGTAAAGGTTGTTCTCTAAGATGAAAAAAAAGAAATATTAAACACTTATGTAAATATTTTATTCAGTATTAAGGAACTGCCCGTGCTAGAAGGCCGCAGGTTTGTGGCTTGTTGCACCTTTTTTTTTTTGCAAAGATCTGCCACAGTAAAGTTACCCAGTTAATTACAAAACATTACAGCACTGCAAGAAGCAATTGGGCACGAAAAACAACAAAACATCAATTTAATCGCGGAACAAACAAAACACAGCGGAGAGATTGCCCTTTCAAAGCATGCCCACAATACCCGAACCAGAAGTATTCTTGGTTCCCTGTCATGTCGGCCGGAAGTGGCCCGAATACCATGTATAGACTAGTGTCTGCTCTGTTCCATGGGCGCTGCCATGTCTGTTTATGTTGACGCCATGACACAGTAGGGGGCTGCGCTTTTTGCAGATTCCGATTCTTTTAGAAACCTTCGCACATATTGTGTGCAAGAACATAAGAAATGCATAGTCACGAAGTTTAAAGAACAACATCGATGCCAGAGTGTTGTAAAGCAAAAATCTTGTTTCATGCAGAGCCCCTCTATTTATAAAGCCTGTGTTTGACACTATTATTTGCCATTATCGCAGGGGGGCTAGGATTTTGAAAACTAGTCTATACATGGTGTGTGGAGGTTAACCAAAACAAATAATGAGGGAACTTCCGGGGGGATGTTACCTCCAGTCGGCTATTGTTTTTGATGACACGCAGTAAGTAGCAAGTACTTTAAAAGTCACACCATTGAATACTAACAACGGAACCTTCTAAAATTTTAATATGTGTGATCGACGTGCCTTTTTGATCCTTTGAATGAAAAGAGCACTTTTTGTTTCTCAAAGAAATAACAATCTGCCAAAGGTATAGTGGGCACATCTTCAGGACTACCCCCGTTACTAGCCTCGTCCATATATCTGAGAACGACTTAAAACCTATAAATCCCCAAACACATTTAACCACCTCTATGACGCCTCAAACACTTTCAGTGATGTGACTGACCTAAGCCATTTTGGGGCACCTTTTGGAGCAGCCAAAACAGTGTTTTGGAGCAGCAAAAGTGGCCTTTGGAGGAGCCAGTACAGTGTTTTGGAGCACCAAAAGTGGCTTTTGGAGTAGCCAAAACAGTGTTTCGGAGCAGCAAAAGTAGCGTTTGGAGCATATATTCTTAGAAAAATAAAAATATTTGTTTTAAGTGCTGGACGAACGAAGGACAATTTGTGCTGTGTTGGGATGGAACTCACTGTTTGTGTTTTTACTGCTGAGAAATCCCACAAGTAGAGTCCTGCATATCCGCAGGAAACTGTCGGATGTGGACAAAAATTAGACGGATTTCGGCAGATTGCGGATCGGATGCGGATGCAGTGATGTGATTGGCCTAAGCCATTTTGGAGCACCTTTCGGAGCAGCCAAAGCAGTCCTTTGGAGCAGCAAAAGTGGCTTTTGAAGCATCCAAGACTGTTTCGGAGCAGCAAAAGTGGCTCTTGGACCAGATGTTCTTAAAAAAAATTAAAATATTAATTCTTAAGTGCTGTACAAACAAAGGGCACTTTGTGTTGTGTTCTGATGTGACGATGGAACTCGCTGCTTGTGTTTTTACTGCTGAGACATCCCATAAGTGTACAGTGCTGTAGGCATTGCCGAGCAATTCCAAAAAACCGCTTGCCGCCGTTCTGCTGGTTCCTGACGTGCCAGATTTTTGTCAAAAGTAAGGAAACGTAAAACGATGGATTGCAAGCGAACTTGATTGCAAGCAAACTTGATTGCAAGCGAACTTGATTGCAAGCGAACTTGATTGCAAGCGAACTTGATTGCACGACAGAGGCTGTCGCCTCTGTTTTGCAATCAAGTTCGCATGCACATGAGGGAAACTTCGGCAGGCTTGCAGTTGCGCGTGCCTCGTCGTGCGAGCGGAGACAATGAATGTTTGATCGAAACCGAAACCATGCCACTCAGCTCCGCCGCCAACTGATTCCCAAAAGTGTATGCGAAATGTAAATGTGGGGAATATGACAAAAAAAAAGGTCCAGCGGCGCATACTTGCCAGGCCGGCAAACAAAGTACAAGTTAAACGTGCACACACACACACACACACAAAGAACCCGAGCACATCGCATCGCGAGTCAGGGTCAAAAAGTTCTTGGAGCGCTTTGTGCAACGACTGAACTCGAGACAAACAAGCGGGCTGTGCGGGTTCAGCGTGCAGGCATTGCCCTTCTTTGCGTTAGCTCACTTCTCTTCAACAACTTTCTTTCACGGCAGATTTTTCACACACCGTGGTCCCTCTCAGAACAAAGCCTGAGAGAAACCTAGGTTATCAATACTTCGACAAAGGAGTCTTTCAGTTAAAGAGGGATTTTTGTAGTAAAGTATGATTTAAAGAACAGGAATGTTGATGAACATGCGGCGGTACTTAGCTTCATTTTAGAAAGCGCCAAATCTGCAGCGACGCGGCGAAGGCAACACCCAACGTTGCGCGACCACGGTGAATAGAAGGGACCAAATATATTTTTTCCACGGTCGTTACTTTCAGGAGAGAGTGCTTCAGCTCAGAAAGTAACTCCCGTCGCACAAAAACATGGTTTCGTTTCACAGCATGACTGCATGGCTGGTACCCGGCACGCTAGCGTCGGAGCGTCCGCGCGAGACGAGACCCGCGAGACGAGACCCACGAGACGACCCCTAGCGCGATACGCGAGACGGTGGGAAAACTATGCAAGACAGGATGGACGATTGATGCAGGGTAAGGACAGAACGAGCGGGTTGGTATAGGATAATTCAGCTTGAGGAAGAAAACGAGAAAAGCGGCAGTTTGCACCAGATAGCACACGCAGGCTCAATTATGGTACTCAGTTTAGTTTGGGTTTTGAAAGACGACTGAAATTGCTTTTTTGGCGCAGGGTTAGCCCCCTGGCGCAGTTTGGCACAATTAGTGCAGCAATCACATCATTCTAAATTTTTGCCCTGTGGCATTCAGTCCGTCGAGTCTGGTGACGTTTCATCTACAGATCGTTTCGTCGACATGCGACGTTTGATGGAAAGGCTTCCCATGTTCGTTTTGTCGAAAGACCTGAGACGTGTCGTCGCACACAGCCCTGCTATTTTCGTAAAAAAACTTTTTGTGTCTCGCCTGGATTACAAGGAGGAGGGGGACATGGTTTGGTTAAGCACGCCTTAGTGAATCGCGCGCTAGCTTTTAGCGGCCCCGTGAAGAAATACATTGTCAACAAAACGTCGCAGGGGCATGTGCCCACAAAACGTACAGCGTCGACGAACCGTGTGTCCATGAAATGTATGTCCGTGAAAAGTTGTCCACGAAACGTATTTCAACAAAACGAGTTTCGAAGAAACGATAGAGACGCTAAGAAAGGCCCGATTCTCACTGAAGATTGCTTAAGTTAGTGCATTTCGATTCATCAAAAATGCTATTTATAGAAAAAGTTAAGAATGCAAGGCATCAATTGTCTTGATAAAGCTAGTTCTTTGGCAAGGAAAGAGCAAAAAACTTTCTCGGGAGAAAGAAAACCTCAAACGAATAAGTCACACGAAAGTAGAAAAAACCTCCCCCTCTCCGCAGAGAGTGGTGTGGTCATGATACGGATACCACAAACAAAACTGCTTCGACAGTGAGCGCGACCCTGTGGCACCAGGTTTGCAAAGTTTCGGAATCAGCGGTGCACACACAGGCAGCCAGTAAACTGCCTGTTTCTTTTTTGTATGCTTAGAGTTCTAGCCAAGAAAGTCTGGTAGTTGATATTCGTCCGGTTATGACGCCAGGGGGCCAGGGCGCCAGTTATGCCAGCGGCTGCAGCGCGCAACCTCCAAAACCACCCCAAGCAAAAAAAAAAAAAAAAAATTCTTTTAATATTTATATTTGGGCGCCTCCAGGCCGCGATCTTTCTCTAACAATACGTTAGTCGATCCGATCAGGCCTTGGACTCTGACTTAGCGGCACATCTGCCAGCTGGCTGACACGAAACACCGTGAGACTCGAGGCGGCCGCATACGCTCGGTAACATCACAGAAAGGATTTTGTCTTCCTACCACTGCTTCTCCTTCTCTCTTTCCAAACTTTTTTTTTATGACTTTTTTTTTTTTTAAACAATGAAAGATTTCAGGGTAGAGTTAAGGGGCCTCAGATGAAAGTTTCCGATTCTGCGTGCGGCGGAGAAGAACGCGGTCAGCGTTATTTCCGCTGATTTTGCTAGTCTAAATGTAATCGTAACCTCTGGTGGTTAGCAAGAACATCGACATGGTTCCACATTTTGCGAATGCAGTTCGGATATGAATACAAAGTATGCGGATGCAGATCGGATACGGATA